TTGTTGAAAAATATTCACTAATTCAGATGCTTTGATATTTTTTTAAATAAAACTATTTCTGAATTAATAAGTTCACTAAAATGCATGCTCTGTGCCTAATCTTATTTGCAATTAGAGAACTTTTACTGCTTCAATTTTTTAAAAATCTCATGAAATCAGTCAAAGGATTTAAGAATAAATTAGTATCTAAGACATATAAGTGACTTTGAATTTTTAAAAAATTATCTGGTCATGTCTACTCAACAACAGCATCAAATGGCTCACTTTTAAGGTTCTCCAGCAAAACAACTCTAATTTGATAAATCAACATACCCATGTTTAGAAACTTTACAACTAAATAAATATACCTTATATGAGATTTGCACATTGAAATAAACTCCCCTCAATATACTCACTTTATCTTTTATTTGACCCCCACTCATCAAAAAACCTACTTGTGCACAATTGAAAGTCTCTTTTACCATTTAGGCTAGAATAAAATAATGTGAATCCTCTGCCTACATAATTAGCATTGAAGAACTAATGTTTCTAACAAGTATATCATTAAAAAGCATTTACACATTAGCAACTAGTACAGTTTTCACTTAGCACCACTATAAATAAGTTATATTCCCTCTCAACATATACTTAAATAAATAATTCAATTACATCTTAGAGCTCCCTTCAAGAATGTCTAATATAGTAAAAAAAAAATATTTATCTCTTAACTCATGTTGATTCTACTTAAGGGGGTCGCCTCAAACCCTCTGTGAAATGAGGCAAGACAGACTGACGTAAATAAATTATGAATGAAATTTTTAATATAGCAGTTTCTTATTATTTTAAGTGGTGATTTGATGTGTGATCAAAGAAAGAAGTCAAAAGTATTTATCAGAGAAAATGGTAAACCTCAATATAGAAGAGTTCAATACAGCCCAAAGGTTTTAGAGCACAAGTATAAAGCCCAGATACCTCAAGCTGAATCCCAGCTCCATTGATTTTATGTTAAATTCAACTTCAGCAGCAACCTAAACACCCACCCACAGATGAATGGATGTGCCCACCCATAGATGAAGAAGGTGTGGTACATATACACAATAGTACATTACTCAGCCATAAAAAGGAATGACATTGGGTCATTCACAATGATATGGATGAACCTTGTCTGTCATATAGAGTGAATAAGTCAGAACAAGAAAAACAAATTATCATGTATTAACACACATATGTAGAATCTAGAAAAATTGTACTGATGAACCTATTTGCAGGGCAGGAATAGAGACTGCGGAGGTAAAAAACAGAGTTGTGGATACAGCAGGGGAAGGAGAGGGTGGGATGAACTGAGAGAGTAGCACTGACATATATACAAATCATGTGTAAAATAGCTAGCTAGTGGGAAGCTGATGCATAGCACAGCGAGCTCAGCTCTGGTCTGTGATGACCTACAGAGATAGGATGGGGCAGGGGGAGGCAGGAGGGAGGCAATATATGTATACAGATAGTTGATTCACATTGTTGTATAGCAGAAACCAACACAATATTGTAAAGCAATTATGTTGTTTAGTCGCTAAGTGTTATCCAACTCTTTGAAACCCCATTGATTGCAGCCCACCAGGCTCCTCTGTCCTTGAAATTTTCGAGGCAAGAATAATGGAGTGAGTTGCCATTTCCTTCTCCAAAAGCGATTATACTCCAAATTTAAAAAAAAAAAAAAAATCACCTTACGAAAATTACTCAAACTCTCTAAATCTCAATTTCCTCTTCTGTGAAATGGAACTCTTAAGAGTACCTTCCTCTTTGGGAGGTTAAGAGGATTCAATGAGATTATCTATGTAAAAGCACCTAAAATAGCACTTGATGCATTACAAGTACTCTATAAACACTGACCATTATCATCATCTCACTGCACTGTTAAAAAAAAAAGGGGGGAGGGTGTAAAAGTAGTTGAATAAATTCTTCTACACATAAACCAGACCAATGGACAGACCCCATACCATCTAGTGAATCCCTATATTCAGACTACTGAGTCTCAGCTTCTATTCATTAGACCTTAAGCTGCCTCTCACAGAGAGTGTATATCTCATCTGAACACCCAAAAGAACAATTTGGTTTCTCACACTATATTACATTATATTAATATGTAAATTCATCACTTTAATAAGAAAATCACAAACAAGTAGTTCATTCAAGACTCATTTTATTCATAACAGTCTCAAAACTTGTCAACCCAAAATTGGATTTTATAGTTATAGTTAAATGAAGTAAACAAATTCACATCCAAATTCATTCAGTAGTGTCAAAAAAATCAATATAAACAAACAGAGAAAGAGACAGTCCACTAAACATGGATTGCTAAATGTTAAGAAGAAAATGCATCATTATTTAAGAGGACAAGCTTAAATGGTGAACAAACGCTACTAATTTACCCAAGTAATGAGCCCTTGTTTTATGACTGCATTCAATAACTGCGTAGAGGTCAGAGCCTTAAAAAGAAAACAGCTATATGTAAAAGAGGAAAGTTTCATTCTTAAAGGACGCTATCTTTATTGAAAATTTTCTGAATAATAAAAAGATAAAAGGTTACAGTGCAATATGAGCAGTTTTTTCCACCTAGAATGAATCTCCTAACAAAATACAGAACTCCTTTTTCCCTAAGGTTCATTTATAATTAGAAATTAGATTCCTCAATAATTCAATGACTGAAACCTTTACTAAAATCAAATGACTTTTTAAATTAAATTTTCACCTAATATATAAGTTCTCCTGGCAGGTGTCATCTCTACAGATAATAAAGCCTTGCTATATTTATTAAATCAGGTTTTCCTTTATGCCCATCCTTTCCTTTGACTTGACATTCTTATAGTATTTAATTATTGGTAAAGTTTTAAAGAGCATAATAAATTACTAATGTATTCTGATAAATATTCTGGTGTACATAATATTTACAATGTCCCTACTTTTCATTCTACCATAAAGAGTGTTCAAGCTAAAATATTTTACTCTTTCAGATTTTTTACATTCTCATCTGGAAAGAGGATAGCTAGTGAGGAAAGATGTTTACAGTTTTATTACAGCATCAGTGACTATGTTCAGGATTTGAAAATCTGAAGAACAGAATCAAGATAAGTGCATAAAATTGACATTAGGTTCAAAAGTTCTTGCCACAAAAAGTGCATTTATAAAGCAGATTCATCCAACTAAATATATGAAAGATGCATAAACTATAGTCATTGCACTTGAATTACTTACAATTTTAACCTTTAAGCATTTGTTTAAAAAACAAAAGTAGTTAAATGATTATTAAGGCTTCCTGTTAAATGCTCTGAAGCTTGTAAACCCCCCAAAATACCTCACCAAACCTCACTTCCACTATAGATACCACTTTAAATTTACTGAATTTCATTGACAATAAATCAAAGAAAGTAAAACCCTTATGTATGTGACTGTTTTGTGTACACGTTTGAAATCACAGATTCATCTGTCACTTGACCATAAGTCTATGATGACGTAGGCAAAATGCTTTACCTACTTTTCTCACCAATAAATTAAGGATAAAACCGAGAAAAGTGATTAAGCGACTTAGTCAAAGATAACAGCCAACTGTCAGCAATGTTTTACTTCTTTTAAAATTAGGTTTCTTAGCTTTCTAGTTCAAACAGAAAGGAAAAAAAAATATCCATAAGAGTATCATCTCAAGAGGCAGCATCATCTGAGAGAAAAGAATATATACTTTATGGATACTACCATTCCCAAAGATGTGGGAATATCTAAATTTCACACCAACACTAACAAAAAAGAAAAGAAAAGCCAAAAAACAAACCGTGAACCTTCTGAATTCCAAATCACTAACCAGTCAAACAGAAAGAGTCAAGTACAGTCTCTGTATTGTACCGTCGCTGGCCCCCTCCCTCAGCTGTTGTACATTTCTACCTAGTTTATTACTAGGAAACAGATTTCAGCTTTCATAATGCTTTCCAATGGGCTTTTCTTAGCAAATGTCTGCACTCCTCAGGCAAAGCTGTTAAGGTAACTTAATCTCTCATGCATTGCTCAGTGAGGGGCGGGCGATGCTGATTCCCAATTTAAAAATGAATTCTTTGGGTTTTTCTGAATTAGGAGTAACTACGAAACCTGGAACCATAATTTCAATTCAGATGTTAACTTGAAGGTTCACAGGACAAATAAAAGCTTAGGGAATCGAAGATGATGCTGAGGAAGGGGGCGCAGAGAGAATGCGAGAAAGATGCTGGTCCATTCCGAGATGATGCAGGAATGACATGGCACCTGGACAACACAAGTCCCAGTGCACCCCCCTCTCAGAGTCTCTGCCTCGGTTTCTCTCACGTATGCCTAGAGCTATGAGTAGGTGCACACGCAAACACAACCACCTTTTATTCTTGGACTCCTTAGCGAGAACATGTCGCGGGTTAAAGCCTCACCACAACAAACGATTTCTTTCTCCTCGAACCCCGCCTCCCCTGCTAGGGGCAGGCGACGACTGTCTCGAACAGCAGACAGCTGACAGGAGCCGAGAACCAGGGCGAGAAGGAAAGCATCTCCAAGGGGGGAGGGGCGGGGAAATGAACCCCACAGCCTCGCGGAAAGCCTGGGGAGGCTGACAGGAAAAGGAGGAGGATATTGAGCCGGGAAAACAGAAAGGGGACTGGGAAGCGCCCGGGAGCGCTACGCCTTCAGGCTGTCCCCAGGCTGTCCCCGGGCTGGCGCGCACCGGGCGGGAGGGGGAAGTCATCCTGGGGCGGACCCCCTCCCCGACTCCCAGACCGGAGGACAGGGAGGAAATGGCTTTGTATCGCAGGATGAAAGGCAGACAGGAGGGCCACCAGGCGGGGAGGGACAGAGGATGCCCGGAGCGGGACGACCCCGCCCGCCCTCACGGACACTGCTGCTCTTCCCTCTGATCCGCTGCAGCCCCTGGTCCAGCCTCGGGCTCCTGCCGTCGATGCTCCAGCGGCCTGAAGCGGGGTCGCCCCCGCCTCCCACCCTCCCCCTCGCGTGCTCACCTGCCCACGAAGTTCTCGAGCACCGAGCTCTTGCCGGCGCTCTGGCCGCCCACCACGGCGATCTGAGGCAGCTCCAGAAGGCAGCTCTGTCCCAGTGCGGAGAAGGCATCCTGCAGACGGTTCACCAGAGGGATGAGCTCCTCCATCTCCCGATTCCCCATTGTGCCAGCGCCGCCGGCTGCCCGCTAGTCCCTGCTAGTCTCTGCGACCTGGCAGGGAGCCGGGGCCGCGCCGCCCTCGCCGCCGCTGCCGCGCTGGGTTCAGTCAGCCGGGTACAGCCAGACGTCGGATCCCGCCACCGTCCGGCCTCTAGTGCGCTCCTGACAGCAACGGCCCCGAAGCGCGCCTGCGCAGGCGAGTGGGGGCGTGGCCTGATCCCGCGACCGCCCCGCCTTCGCCGCGATGGGCGGCTGCTGTGCGCTAGGCTTCGCAGCCAGACATCCCCGCCCGGCGCGCACGCACTGCCTCCCAGCTGCGGCCGCATGCCACCGCCTCTGTCGTCTGGTGCCAAGGTTCAGAGATAGAGTTAACAGCACTTGGTCAGGGAACGGCATGAAATAGCAGCACCAGCCGACAGCACTGTTCCCTCTCAGTAGCTACTGTAAGGCAAAGTCCAGTAGAAAGCACTCCACCGCTGACAGCTCAGCACTGTCGCCAGCAGCAGCAGCAGCAGGCAGCTGCCGCCACCAGTGCAATGCCTCCAGAGTGCACCTCCCGAAAGGAAACCTCTTGTTCTCACGGCCCACTCCAGAACCCTGGCTCTTTTCTTGCGGTGGCCGGCCTTCTGGAGTCTAGATTCTTCAATCTGATATCCGTTTCAGGCCCTGTGTATTCTGACCACACCTAATCATACAACTTGAACCGCTGGGTTCTTCTGGCCCTGCAGAAGCAAAGGTAGAGTCTGTTGTGCTTGCCCGGCACCACTCGCCCTCTTCAGTCTACCAAGTTCATTCTGTCCTTTGTGACTCTTCATTCCATTTTTCCTCCTAATCTACCTCCAGTGGGCTCTATCAATAACCATGTATTCTGCTCCCATTCTCTTAAATTTAGCGAACTAAGTGATTGCGTAGGAGAGGATCTTGTGCTTTATGTTGGGGACACAGAAGGATAAATGGTCATGCTTCTCTCAGCCTCCTTGGCCAGATCCTCTTTGCAAATACTCATACTACTCAGGATTTAATTCATGAACGTTTTAGTCCACCTGAGGACTTCCCTATGGCATTAACTACACATAATGACTAGAGACTAGTTTAAATAACTCTTCAGAGCCTTAGATTGTATTCCAAGTTGGTCCTAGACCTCACTGCCTGAGTGTCCCACAAGTACTTCTGCTTAATGTATTCATCAGTTCAGTCGCTCAGTCATGTCTGACTCCTTGTGACCCCATGAACCACAGCACACCAGGTCTCCCTGTCCATCACCAACTCCCGGAGTCCACCCAAACCCATGTCCATCAAGTCGATGATGCCACCCAACCATCTGATCCTCTGTTGTCCCCTTCTCCTCCAACCCTCAATCTTTCCCAGCATCAGGGTCTTTGCAAATGAATCAGCTCTTCGCATCAGGTGGCCAAAGTATTGGTGTTTCAGATTCAACATCAGTCCTTCCAATGAACACCCAGGACTGATCTCCTTTACGATGGACTGGGGTGGATCTCCTTGCAGTCCAAGGGACTCTCAAGAGTCTTTTCCAACACCACAGTTCAAAAGCATCAATTCTTCCGTGCTCAGCTTTCTTTATAGTCCAACTCTCACATCCATACATGACCACTGGAAAAACCATAGCCTTGACTAGACGGACCTTTGTTGGCAAAGTAATGTCTCTGCT